TCTTTCATTGATTATTTGTTTTAGAAATAATTTCTTATTTTCTCGATGTAACGTTGGATTTAGTCTATGATAATTTTCAGCCTTATATGAAAAGCAATTCCAACCAAATCTATATTCACCCTAACTCCAATCACCCACCGTCTGTAATCCGACATATTCCTTCCCCTGTAGAACGTAGAATTAGCAAACACTCATCGACCAAAGGTGTGTTTGAGAAACATAGTAGTGTGTACAATAAAGTTCTTAGAAATAGTGGGTATAAGTCCACTGAAATTCAGTTTAGAGAATATGATGGTAATTCCAAGAAAAGAAATAGAAATAGGAAGATCATCTGGTGCACACCACCATTTAACCAATTAGTACGAAGTTAGACCATAAGTTTCTCAAATTAATTGGCATACATTTTCCGAAAAGCAAATCTCTTAGTAAAATTTTTAATAGGAATATATTAAAACTTAGTTATAGTTGCACCAATAATCTTGAGAAAATCATAAATTTGCACAACAATAGAACACTAAACAAGTTTAATAATTTGAACCATAATGCATGCACTAATGAAAATATGATCTATATGCTAAAAGTTTTGTTTACTCCATTTATTTAAATATTTTGTTTGATCTTTAAGTTTTCGTTATTTTGTTAAATATTTTTCTTTCTTTTTCATTCATTTATATCATAAAGTGCCATATTATTTATCTACTATAAAGTATTGTTAAATTACGTTTTCTTCCTCATAGGAAATGTCAGCCGTTGGATGTTAACATTGTAGCGAAGTTTTTGTTTCAAATATAAAGTCTGTATTCGTTGCAATTTTAAATCTGTTTCATGACCTCTTACTTAGCATAAGCCATTTTGATTGGTTGAAGCGATTATGAACATAACAAGTTTTGCTACTTTACATTTCTATACTTTCGTTATATTTTTCTTTTTCTCTTCTCCCTTTTCTCTGGAAAATGAGATTATATCTTGTGTCTTTCTTTCTTTTTCCTTTTCTTTTCTTTTTTTTTCTTTTTCACGAGAAAAGAGGTTGTATGCAGTTAAATCCTAATAATTGTAATAATCAGTCATTTACTAAGGGCTGAGATGAGTTGATACACATTGAAACGTAAGTGCATTTGTGTAGTGTTGTTTCGACACGTTTTAATGTAATATACTATAAAAAAGAATATTGCTTTACTATTGGATTGTATGAACCCTATTTTAAATTAATGTTATGAATGTTTGAATTTATATTCGATTCATTCTCATATATATATATATATATATATATATATATATATATATAAATATATTTTGATGAAAAAAACCGACAATGTCTGGCTGTTTAATTTTTTATTGTATTTTTCCAATTTACGGATAAAGTATTGAGTATTGTGCTTGAAGCTGTGAATAAACTGTCAGAATAAGAATAAGAAGAAGAATAAGAAGAAGAAGAAGAAGAAGAAGAAGAAGAAGAAGAAGAAGAAGAAGAAGAAGGGATGGAAGAGGAGAAAAAAAACGCGCAACATACAGTTGTCATAATTTTACATTTTCAAAACTGATATAATTTAACTTGCTTATTTAAATAACCATCATTTTAGTAATGTAGAATCCTTCTTTAATAGTTAATTCGTATGGTATAATCGCCCTGTCATTGGTAGAAATCAATTTATATATATATATATATATATATATATATATATATATATATATATATATATGTGTGTGTGTGTGTGTGTGTGTATAAATTCTTCACAAAGTCAGGTAATAAGGTATTTACTTTGGCTGTTTCGAAAAAAAGGCTTCAGGCGCTTCTGTCAAACCGTAGACGTTAAGGAATTCCCCACCCCATGTTTTGAAGTGCTGTAGGGAGCAGCTGTCCGTGAAACCTGTTCCTAATGTCCAGATGAAATCAATATACGAGATCTGGCAAAACTCACGTGTCAGACAGCTAAATAGACAGAGGAATAAATAATTTTGACCAAGTGAATGTTGTTAGATTTTACTAGCAGGCTACATAAATTTGCAACCTGTGAATAACCACGAGCTATTTGTAAAATTGTTTATGTGTTTGTTAACAATAATGGAGAATTCATTCCCTATAGACTATTCAATAATTATACAGCCTTTTACAAAATTTATATTTCGTGAAAATATTTCATGACCATTGGAAAGCCAAATAGCAGCAATTTGTAAAAACAACATCTGCGAAATTCTGGTTTTCTATACAGAAAAAAAAAACCTTAATAAAGACATTGTTAATATTGAGTAAGTTAAGCTAAGTCGTAGGGAGGTCAGTTAGGGAAATTGTGTTATGATAATTTTCGAAATAGGAAAGTTTTACACTGAAATAGGTATTCAAAAATCTGGCTTTTACCATGGACCAAATATCAATTTCTGGTGTTGTTGAGAAAATTGAACAACTGTGTGTCTTTCTGACACTGCCCCTCACACATACATAGTTATTAACTGAATACAGATCTAAAATTTTCAATATATAATGTTTCATCCATATTTACCACTGAAGTAAGAACATTGATATAGAAGAAAATTGCGTTGAAAATTAAATATTATGTATATATATATATATATATATATATATATATATATATATATATATATATATATATATATATATAATTAATTAATACGTACAAATACGTGCATCTAAGTCTGTATTTTAATGATAAAACAAGCATTTATTTTACATATATGTGATTTTAGGCAGCAATTCCTATTTTATACATATTTCGTTAAAGACGACTGACAAGGTACTACAAGTCAGTTTTTTATTTAATTTTTCTTGTGTTCGTACAAGTGTTTTCTTTTCTGGGCACAACATGTGTAAAATTGTCCAAAAAGTTCTGCATATCCGAGCGCTTTCGGCTATTTTTTTTATACATTATCAAGAGCGTTTTTTTTATGTTTTTATTTTTAACTAAATATGTGGGGTTTTATGTATTTGTCTGGAGTTATAGGAATTTATTATTTTCATTGTGGCCATGTTCATAGTTAATGTCACTGAGTGTTGGCTTTTCCATTTTTATTATTAGGGCTTCCATTATTTTTACTCCTTTTTACATGTGGATGAGGCTGTTATGTTTGTATTTTCTACTAGTATGTTTCGGATGAATTCTGGTAGATTTTGTGTGCGTGCCTAAATGGAGCTATGGCCGGGTAGATGTAACATATGTCGTCTAAATAGGCATGTAGTAGTGTGACCGATGTAATTATTTATTTGTTTGGTTTGATCAGAAACAAAGATCTTTAAGGTGTATTTGAACGCGCAAATAATGTTAGCTCATTGAAGTTTCGATTTTGCAGGTGTGTTATTATTTTTGAGGATAAGGTTAGCTGTTTTAATTTTTTTTGCAACAGATAATTAATTTAATTTTCTTGTTCGTGTCGACGGCGGTTGTATTTCTTTATGATATTTCTAAGAGAAATTTCATCTTGCTTATGGTTGGAATGTATTTGCCTTTTGTAGATGATAATGTTATTGTTTTTGTTTACATATTCAGTATCGTTATTAGTTATTTCAATGAAGTAGTTAGAAAAACCATTGTTAACTAGTGTCTGTTTTGCATTATTGAGTTCTTTAAGGAAAAGTGGACGAGAGGATGAATTCTCGTGTGCTCTCTTTAGGAAATGTTTTATAACTGCAATTTTATATCTAATTGAATATTCACTTTTAAAATTAAGGTGGTAAGAGTTTTTGTTAGTGATTTTTTATATGATATAATGAAGTAGTGAATGTGTTATTACTGTATTTTACGAGAACGTCTGAGAATGGTTGTTTATTTTTTGACTCAGTTCATAGGTAAAGTTATATATATGTATATATATATATATATATATGTGTGTGTGTGTGTGTGTGTATTTGAAAGCATTCTTCGTGGTATAGAACTTAAGTATTGCTGTGAAAACCTTAAGCTGAATATTATTTGGCATAATTAAAAACGGATGGTAAAAATAATAATGAAAGAGGAAGAGTAACTGGTTTCGCTTCCGCTCTTCAAAGTTTTTAATCGGTAGATTCTGAAAAGACAATAAATATAATTAGCGAATGATTGATGAGAGGAAAGAGAAGAGAAAAATAGTGGCGAAAGTACTAGAAACTAATGATAGCAAGTCCCAACGAACAATCACCGCTGTTTATAGAGAGAAGGATTGCGAGACTTGATATACAGTAACTCTAGTACTTTAAGATGAAATAACGTGTGTGACTGGGTGAAAACAGTAAAACCAGTCAATACTGAATTCAGCAGCACACTTACTATTCTTTAAAAGGTGCTCAGAAATTCAGGATCCGTAGGTATTTGGGATTATTTCATTTGAAACCAAAGTGTATTCTTGATCTTACCTGGCTTGTGTAGTTTTATCCTCACAACTAATCGCTGGGTAGCCCTCGCTATATAGCTGACTCCGCCACAACAATTATATTTATACACAACAGAATTAGCTTGAGATAAGTTAATTCATACACGTTATTTCATATATATATATATATATATATATATATATATATAATACAGACACACACAAACACACACAGACACATATATATGCTCGTACAGGAACACAGCGAATACAGGAAAAAACTTACACCAGTGTTAAATATGCATAAAAGGAAAAAATCGAAAAAATATAAGCAGTAAATTGCTGATCACCCCTGAAGAGTGGACGAATAGGTCCGTCCATGAAACTGGAATTAGGATGCTGAATGTAACATCAGTCAGCTAAGTGACAAACTTTTACTCACATTAATCCTGTGTACATATATATATAATACGCACAAATATGTGCATCTAAGTCTGTTGTTTAATATATATATATATATATATGTATGTATGCATAGTATATATATATATATATATATGTGTGTGTGTATATATATATATATATATATATATACACACACACACATATATATATATATACTATGCATATATATATATATATATTATATATATATATATATAGAGAGAGAGCCTAGAAGAACAGAGGATAAAAATGTGATCCTAAAAAAAGAATGTAAGAATATGATAAAAAAAATGGAAAGAAAGAAACAAAAAGAAGACAGAAAATAAATATGAAAAAGAAAGTGCAGAATAAAAAGTGAGGAAGAGAGAAAACGAAGGACATCGAGAATAAAAAAGGAAAAAAACTGAGGGGGGGGGAATAAACGGCGATGATGCATTAGAGAAAGAAATCGTGTAAAAGCACGAAATAGGCGAAAAAAGGAAGGAAATAGAAGTAAAAATGAATGTGGAAAGAAAGAAAGAAAGAAAAAGAACAAGTGAAGAAGAAGAAAGCAATGGTGAGCAAAGATAATTTCCGAAAGGAGTCAGTGGGATAAAGTTGGAGGAAAGTTGTAGTGTGAGGTAAACGACTATCGGAAAAACTCATAAAAGATGAGAAAAAATGGAAAACAAAAGGGAAAGGACTTTAAAACAGTTTCCACGGATATTTTCTTCGCCAAGGCGGAGAAGTTGAACAGTTGAAGTCAGCCATATATCAGTGGTCCGTGGAAATGATTGTCAATTTGACAGATGAGATGGCAGAGGTAACACAGTAGCGTCGATGGTTAGAGACGGCGTAGGAAAGGAGCAAAATGAATGGAGACTCTGTTCGGGCGGGAAAATAAAGGAAAAGGATGACATAAAGGAAAAAGAGTACGATGAAAGAAGAGTAGAAAAGTGTAAAAAATAAGGAAAAATCTATTTGGTAAAAGAGAGAGAGAGAGAGAGAATATCAAACATTTTTTTCTGCACTGTCCCTTTTTTTTTCTTTTTTTAAAATCTCTTCCAGTAGACAGATAAAATAAGGAGATAGAGAGAAACTGAGAGAGATAGCGAGTGGGTGCAGAGAAAAAGAAAGAGAAATACTGCTTCTTTATGGACTCGAAACCAATCACTGGCGCCAGTAATTCAGGCTCAAAATAAACCCATTATACACCCCATACACACACACACACACACATACACGCACACACATATATATATCAGTCAGTCATATGCCATGCGTGATACACGCTTAGGCGATCATGTATCTTTCGTTACATGATTGCCATTTCAAGACAAATTGCCATCCAAGGCAAAAGAACATGTCCTGCTATTTACCCATAGCTGAGGGGAGAGGAAAAGAGGATTCATACCTTTCCCAAGGGTATTATTAGCACGTCAGTGAATGTTCTCCTAGAATTCGAACTCCGATTCTTAATTCCGAGTCGCTATCCATTACCCCCACCGTACCGCCTACCTATCTATCTCTTTCTCTCTCTCTGTATATATATATATATATATATATATATATATATATATATATATATATATATATATATATATATATATATATATTTCATTAAAAACGACAGACTAGTTACTGCGATTAAGCTTTTTATTTCATTTTTCTTGTGTTCGAACAAGTGTTTTCTTTTCTGTACACAGAGTGTGTAGAAACTAAATGTTCTTTAATTCCGAGCGCTTTCATCTATACTTTTAGCCATTGTCAAGGATGGTCCTATTATTATGCTGGTATTTTCTACTAGTATATTTCTGATGGAGTCTGGTATGTTCGTGTGTGTGTTTAATATGTGTAAGTGTAACGTAATTCGTCTGGATAGGCATGTAGTCATGTTATCGATAATTGTTTATGAGTTCGGTTTGATCAGAAACATCATCGGAGACTACCAACATGGATACTTATATGGAAATATAAAAACACATAAATCCGGATTACCTACTACGACCAAACATTTCACAAATCCCAACGAGTTATCAAAATTCCTTAATGACGTCATTACTCCATACCTATCCCCAGTTACAGTATTACATGCACCCACGAATTCCGCTAAGAAAATTTATTCACAAACGTCCCCGTTGATCAAAACTTTAACATAATCCTCAATTCCATGTACACAAATAATTGTATCCCACCGCCATCCGTCGAACCAAATATCCTCAAAATATTATTACATGCATGCACAACCAAAGTCCTATTAAATGACTATAATGGCAACTTCTACCCCCAAACTAATAGTGTTAGTATAGGAAATTCGCTCGGTCCGTGTTTCCCCAATTATTACATGCCGCATGTAGAAAACATGATATTTAAACAGGTCTGTAAACCTAAAATATATGTCCACTACGTAGATGATATTTTTGTTTTAGTGAAAAAAAAACACAAAAGAAATAGATACTCTCAAGACCACATGTGAAAAAAAACTTGACTTTACCTACGAACTTAAAAAATAAACAACCATTCTTAGACGTTCTCGTAGAATACAGTGACAACCCTTTTACCACCTCAATTTATAAAAAAAAAAAAAGAAAAACACTAGCAGAAACTCTTGCCACCTTATCTGATTGCCCACTCAGATACAAAGCAGCGGGGAGATAAAAAAAAACTTCATAAAAACAGCACACCAGAATTCATCCTCTCAACTATTCTTCCTTAAAGAACTCAACAATGCAAAACAGACACTTGTTAACAATGGCTTCTCTAACCACCATATCCACCACCAAATTAGACTATTCCTTTCCAAAGTCAATAATACCGATAGTGAACACAGTAAAATATAACATGAATATTTTCTACAAAAGCCCGTTGGATTCAAGATGAATATTTTTCTACAAAAGCCCGTTGGATTCAAGATGAATCTTCGGTTAGAAATATCATAAAGAAATACACTACCCCAACTGATCCGAACAAAAAAATTAAATTATCTCCTACAAAAAAATTAAAACAGCTAACCTTATCCTCAAAAATAACAACACACTAACAAAATCAAAATTACAACGAACGAACATTATGAGTTTAAATACCGCTTAAGGAATTGTATCCTGATCAAACCAAATTCATAAATAATTATATGGGCCACACGACCACATGCCTTACGTTATACCCATCTGAACACAGCTCTATTAGAACCCATTTAAACACACACACAAACTTACTAGACTCCATCCAAAACATACTAGTAAAAAATACAAACATAATAATCTATCTATCTATCTATCTATCTATCTATCTATCTATATATATATATATAACAGTTACACACACATTAGAGACACACACATATGCACATTTTGTTAACTGTTTATATATATATATATATATATTATATATATATATATATATATATATATATATATATATATATATATATATATATATATATATATATATATATATATATATATATATATATATATATATATATATATATATATATATATATATATATATATATATATATATATATATATATATATATATATATATATATATATATATATATATATATATATATATATATATATATATATATATATATATATATATTCAAGAAGGGGCGCTGAAATTTTCTTTGCTTGACTCACTTCCAAGAATTTGATCAAATCATCAAACATCAGTATTTGGGGGTAATCTTTCTTGATTAGACTGAGAACTTTACTACAACTCTCTTTCCCTTTCCCTCCCCCCCCTCTCTCTCTCTCTCTTAGTGCCTTCTTTATTGATGAGATAGATACATATTTTCACAAGCACCAGTAGTCAGTGTTCGTACCCCGTAAAAACGTAGGATTCCCAATGCCTTTATTTTCAAGTCAGGCTGGTTTTCATGAGAAACTGGTGCAGCACAATCTTCTCGCTTTCCTTTGGCCTTCTACTCGACTGCGTTAATCTCGCTAAAGACATATTATTTGATAATCAATAAAAGGAAGAGGGAATATAGATAAGAAGGCAGAATAATTGATAGGAACTATTTCAAAATAAGAGAGAAATAAATATCGTTGTGACTGAAAAATTGTGATAAAGACAAAAATAAAGAGAAAAAGAAAAGTAAGATTATGAATAGTAATAAAGAGAGAGAGAGAGAGAGAGAGAGAGGATTGATAGAATGTGTAAGAAAATAGGTGTGCGTGTGTAAGCATAAAGGAACAATGGCAATAAGCGTGTTGAAATGTTAAACGAGGGAAAGATTGAAATGAGGAAAGAAAGAGAGAAGTGCATTAATAAGAAAAGATAAAGAGCAAAATATGAAACATGACGCGAGATAGATGAGATTGGCGTAGATGGTGACGACGATGAGAAGATAAAGGCGGTGGCGGGGTTATGGCAAGAAAAGTTACGTTTGTGTCAGACCAGAATAACGGTTGACCACTACAAAGATGGAAGAGCCTGGTGCCCGACAACGAGGGGGTGAACAATCACTTTGGGACAGCTCACATTCGGCAGATTGAGATCCGTATTGTCTGGTTGTGAATTATGGCCGTGGAAAAATCATTTCACATCTGATGCCTCGGCAGGAGACTGACGCAAGTCACGCGGTAATACCGTTCTCTGGCAAACCTCTGATTGATGGCTTACACTTGAAGGGGGTGGCGGTGATAACGGCGATGATCAACCATGGCAGCCATGGTGGTTATGGCGGACAGAACGTCACGCTTGTTGTCGGCACTGGCGTTCCACACAAGGACCCTCCTTTTGCCAAGGCAGGGAGAGTTTGAGGCGAATCCAAGTGATACTCGGCACTTTTTAGGCGAAGGCGTCAGCAAAAAGGAAAAGAAAAAGAAAGTATAAAATAAATGTCTTTCGATTGCCAACTCAGTTATCAAATGCTTTTGCCATTTTTTTATGTAGGGGAGGAGAAAGATGGTTTGATATTTATATCTCTTGAGTGCAAAACTGACCAGCGGTGAAAGTATTTTTGGCGCTGTCAGTTAAAGTGAGAAATGGCATTTATTTATAATGTTTTAATGTCTCCGATTTTAAAAGAGCGAAGTATCGCATTTGCTTATTTATATTATAGTTGAAAATGGAAATAGCACCGTTTAGCTATTATTGCTAAAATAGATAATTATAAGTAATATGAATAGTTCTTATATTCATTTTGCTTTGCCTTTATTTAAACATGATGTTCCATTATTAAAGCCAGATTGTGATCAATATGACTGACAACATAAAATGGTCAACATTATATATATATATATATATATATATATATATATGTATCAGTGCCATGTCCCTTCAAGCATAAGCGATCAAAACTTTCCACGGATTTCTTTTCTTTATTATCTATGAATTTCCATAACTTCTTAGGAAAGATAATGTAGTAGTTTCTCATTTCCTTCGCTGTTTGAAATTCAGTGTTTTCATTTTGTTAGAATGGTTGTCAGCCAAGTCTAGACAGCCCAGTCTACTCTGCTATTTAATTCAAGGGAAGAAGAAGAGACATATTTATACCTTTTGAAGGGTATTAATGCGGAAGTGAACGCAACAAAGTAGCTTGCAATTTGAACTTGACTCGCCGATTTCCCGTTTCAATACAATCAACTCTGCTGTCCATTACACCACTCACACATCACAACACTATTTAATGAAATTATTTTATAGTTGAGATTGGTGGGTCTAGAATTGGCGCAAATATTGGCATGCACGCTATGAACAATCTGGTTAGACATTGAAAATAGTATTAAAAAAAATAACATTTTAATATTTTTTAGATAGATATTGAATATTTAGCTGAGTCTTGGTACAAGGTCAAAAGTTTGGGATACCCAGTTAAGATCAAGCGCCTAAATGATCGAACATTATAATTCAGTCTTGTACTGTGGATTCCGCAGTACAAAACTAAATTATAAAGTCATGTATTTACAGTTCTTCTGCGAAGTTGGTGAAGCTTTTTATTATATCCTTTGCAAAAAATATTTCGAAAAGAGAAAAGAACAAGATGCTTTTGTTTTGCAAGCACAAAGAAAACTAAAATAAATTTCATAAGTAAAAAGAGTTACGCCATTTTCTCTTAACATTATGTTGTTCGGAAAATAATCTTCGATTTTAGAATAAACCTTTTAATTGTGTTGTAATATATTATAATAGTTGCACAAAATATATAACTTATTCCTAATGATTAAAGTATCCTATTTATTAATTTTATATCAGTCTCTTTAAGAATTTAACTGAAAACATCTTGAACATGAAAAAAGAAGAGATGAGTTCAGCTTGGTCATAATGCTTCTCAAACTATTGCCAATATTAATAATGAGGTAACAGATCCACTTGTAATCGGACAGTACTCCGCTGGTTTCTGAAGTTCTGCATTGTGGATACGAATCTTAAATATCAAAAATGGTAGAGGACGTCCATCTGCAATTGACAATCAATATCTTAAAACACTATGCAAAAAAACAAAACAAAAAACAAAAAAACAAAACAAAAAACAAACCCTACGTCAAAGTGTCAGTGAAATTTCACAGTTAATGTGGGGATCAGCATTTCAACAATTTCAGACCCTCTTAAGAAAATTGGTAAGGGCAAGGAGCTCGTGTTTCATATGAACTCAATGTAAGTCAAAGAGTTCGACATTCCGAAGTCTATTCGGTGCTGGATATGCGAAATTCGAATGATCCATTTCTTGATTGGTAATGACTTGTGATGAGAAATGGATTTTTATGACAATCTTAAATGATCGGCCCAATGACTTGATCATGGCGAAACATTCAAACACTTTTAGAAACCGAAATTGCGCCAATAGATTATGGTGGCTATCCAGTGATCCGCCATTGTCTTTATCTATTAGAGTTTTCTGGAATCTAACCAAAGCATCACTGCCGAAGTTTACTATCAGCAAGTGGATGAAAAACCCATCCAGTTAAGCAAAATGCAACCGGCACTATTTATCTGATGAAATCCAATTCTACTTCATGACAATGCTCGAACACATGTTACCAGGATGACACTGCAGAAGCTCATCGACTTAGGACACGAGACTTTGCCACATCCACCATATTAAATAACAGAAATGTTCGTATCATGTTCAGGCTTCCTATTTTGACTAATTTATACACTGTATTTAAATACTGTTTAAATACATTAATTCAGGAATAAAAGTTGATTCTAAACTCGGACCTTATTTTCCGAAATGAGTTCTGGCCATTAAACGATGGTATGAAAACTAATCTCGCACACTTTTACCAGAAAGTTTTATGCTTTGTTCTTGACTTCACAGACAAGTCATTACGATTGTGTTCACCCTACAGCGGATGTCATACTATTTTAGAGCTTCCAGATCTCGGGCGCTTGCTACAAATTATTGGCCTGTGAACAAACTATTCTTAGTAATTGATCCTCTTTGTGTGTCCTTTTGACAGATACTTAATCTTAACGTTAGTAAGAGCATTATGCTCCATGCATGCTATTCTTTTGGAAAGAAGCTATGGCTATTCACTAGTTTTCACCAATACTGGGAGAAGAAAGTTGCAAGTAATTTCTCATTGGAAGCGCTATGAATAAAGTCTTAGATGAGCTGAACAATGTAATATCAGTCCTCCTATATGGCAGTGAATGCTGGACAATTTCTTCATAGATGAAGAGGACACTTGTGGCAACAATGATGTGGCTCTACAGAAAGATGTCCCTCTTGCTTTCAATCTCTGCTGTGAGTATCAAATTTTCTAACACCTTTTCGTTTCATGTGAGCAATGAGGAAGTTTTAAAGGAAATGCGAAAAAAAGGACATTTATACTTAGAATCAGGAAGTATCATGTGAAATTTCTGGGACACTTAATGTGGAAAGGGGGCTTGGAAAATTTGACACTCACAGAACATATTGGAGAGGCAGTGGGGAACAGTGAGTAACTTACCGAAAGGTTTTATGTAAATGGATAGCCGAACAGGTCGTGGGACGGATAGTTAAAAACAAATATTGATGAAAAGTGCAAAGAATAAGAAGTTTTGGAGAGCCACGATCGCCTACGTTCTGAAGAAATACGGCACACAAGAGAAAAGAACATTAAACATAGTTTAGTCCATCAATTAGAAAATATTAAATCTATTTGGTATTGCTAATGTCAGTAGCTTGCATAAGAAGATATGAAATGTTATCTATATATTTACTGGATTCAAATACAGTCAACGCTAAAAAAGAAAACAAAAGAAAACAAAATAAAAAAAACAACTGTTATTATTGTTTAATTATTGTTTCTCTATCGCCGGCATTTTCTCTATCGCAGCGGATGCTACCTTTTTTCAGGCTATGATGCTGCAGGTAACTTAACAGTGTATAATTAAAAGAAAGTATAACAAAAAAAAAATAAACATATTTGTAAATTCCTATTATTAGTATTTCTAATTATTAGTGATTAATTAACGCAAGTACAGCATACTCATTGATGCTTGTAAAATATCATTCTATCCCACTTGTATTTACTAATCAACCTGTTATAAATTTATTAATTTACACCAACATGAATTTAAAATTCGTATTAATTAGCATGTTTATTTTTGTCTCGTTTAAGAAATCTATTTATCCCTGTTCATCTATTCAGAATAAATTTTATTGTCGGTCGCTAAAGTACTTCCGGCGAAAAAAAAAAAATGGATGCGTGGCACATAAGTCCCTAACTGCAAAAACAGAGCCATCGTGTGAGATGAAATAAACAAAGAAAGGGGAAACAAGTCATAAAAGAAAATCATGAAAGGCTTCATGCCATCACTTGTTAAAGATTTTGCGAAAATACTTTCCTTTTAGATCATTTCTATCTATTAGGCATTGTTCTACTTCCTGTGTGTGTGTGCAGGTATCTGTGCGTGTCTATGTGCGCTCGAGTGTGTGTATGGATGTACGAACGTGTATGTATGCGTATGTATGTGTGCGCGCGAGGAAAAAACAAAAGGGTTAAGTAATTTCCATTTGGAATTAAATCCTTTAAAATTTTTGTTGGAGTTCTTCTATGTGCCGTGTTTCTTCAGAACGTTGGCGATCATGACTCTCCCCAATTTCCTTTCCTTTTTAGATCTTATTAAATTTAGTTTTTCTGTTATCTCTCCTGAAACTTTTTCTACCAGCCATTTTCTCATGCTCGTTAGGTGGTTTATGTTTTGTTGTCCTCTGTTCCTCTTACCTTTAATCTCTGCTGTGAGTATCAAATTTTCCAAGCCCACTTTCCTCATTATGTACCCTATAATTTTCAACTCTTAATCCTTTATAAACAAACTATATTTTCGTACTTCACGTTTATAACTTCCACTCCATTCTGTTTTCAGTCGAATCAAACATGTAGAATCATTTTTAAAACTTTATCTTTTTAATACATAAATCATGCCATGTGAATGAAAAATTTTATTGTCTTTATGTTGTTTATAAAGCATTACCTATTATTTCTTTTTATCAACCAGTTTTTAATGTTACCTTTGTGTACATGTCAATATTTACTAAGCTAGGCTTCGTCAGGTACATGACTACAGTTGTATGTTCCTATGTGAGAATTGAACTCATTGTAATATCAATGGTTTGTATATTATCTAATAACCTGTTTACTGTCGCTCCCCGGTAGTTGCTTGAAAAATATGTACCCAATGAGGATCGAACTTATAACACTTGCAATGGTATGCAAGACTATATTGATAAAATGTATTAAGATAAGCCTCAGTTTCTTATTCATGTGTACACAAACGCAGAAACTAATTTATAATTGAGTAATTTGTTATTAAGCAATAGCTGATAAGAACACATTGTTGTTTAGTGGTGTGCGTTCGTTTCAGTTTTATTTGCTTTGTATCTATAAAGAAAGTTGTTTCTCTACTTTTGTCATCAGATGTAAATTAGAAAGGAAAGAAACGAAGAAATAAAATTTGATTCTAAGAAAACAGGTGATCAGAAACATATGCTAATGTATAGGATAAAAATGATTTCTTTGTAATTCTACGTTTATCTATTTTTCTTTAGATCAAATTTTTTTAATTTGATTTTTTTGTTTCTCTTGTGATTTTTGCAGCATAAAATTGTATAATAATTAAAAAATGCTTTTTAATAGAAAATAGACGCCATCTTTGAAAATATAGTGCTCTATACTGCAACAATGATGAAAAGGTTATTGAAGAAGCAAATGAACTGCTTGTGTCAATCATAAACTGCCGACAAGATAAGGCCTCCGGAATCCATGTTATTGAGGGCGAGGGTCTGCAATAGCGCTGTCAATCAAAATGAGTGACAAGTGCAGACGACAGCTTGGTTTCCCGTGTGCTCACACTTGGAAAAACAGACGACTTTCTAAATGACAGCCAACATGATTGTCAGCCTAGCATTGTCGTATTAAAAAGAAAATTTCGTTTATTTTATTATTATTTTAAAATTGGGACAATTCTTATTGGGTGATTAGCTGGTGAATTTAAAAATAATGACAGGGAATGCGATGAAAAGGGTGACACAGTTGAATCTATTACATGTTGCCTTTAGGTATGGCCAGCTTTTATAATCTGTATGCTTGTAAATAGTTTTTTTCTCATAGATGTTTCCTTTACTTAAGTACATGTTTTATACTCAACACAAAACAGATAATATCTATCGTTGTAATAACCAAACACTTCATTCCTCTTTTTCTTTCTCTTTCTTTTATATTAGGCTACATTCCACGACTTTCATCCAGCGAAATTTGACAAAACAACTAAATCTTAATAAATTTCGAACAGTTACTTTACGTGAGTTTATGAGTAAATTCCCATAGAGAATTTTTTTTGTTGTAGTTACCTTCAGTAAATTTCACATTGAATATGACAATGATAATCGTAGAGCTCGATTATTGATTGTACCAAGGCTTCAGTGAAAACTGCTATTTTCCTGTTTTATTTTCCACATTAGGTGAACTACATCTAACTCTTATCTGCTCACCTTAGTCTGCTCACACGTATGAACTTACAGAGTGAACCAGATAGTTGCACGTTAGCCTCTACTTCCCAAGGTTGACGTTAAAGCCTGATTATATACCAAGATTTCGAATACTGATTTTCAAGGCAAGCAGGCTTTCTTTACTTGGAAAATTGGCGCAACATGGTCTTCACACTTTGGGGAAATCAGTTCATGATTAAACTTGTTAAATATACAATACATTGATACGGAAGCTACAGTAATGACGAGTGTGAGAGCGTTTTGTTTGTATGTGTCGTCTAAGAAACCATAACTCTAACAGAAAAGGAATGAGGGGTAAAACACAATAGTGGAAATGAGGTGTTGTTAAAGGGGAAAAAAGGGGATTTTTTAACGCTTTTGCCTTGCGTGATGTGCAAAAATTATTAGGGAGTTCGTTTCGAGATACTAAAAGATAAGTAGGAGTTGGTATTACATCGTAGTTGTTGAGAAAGATCACGAGAAGAAGATATACATATGAATGAGCTTTATCGCATAGTAAATGTTTTCATAGCGTAGCCTCCTCAGCTTCTACTGTTAACATCGTACTCCTGGCGCTTCTGTGTCTGTCTTCAGTTGTTGGTGTCAGACTTCGATGAGTAGGTATATTCGGAGACTACCCAACTAAAATGAATGTGAAACAGGTAAATGACCGTGTGCGAAGTCGAATTGATGGAAGTTTATATAGTGTTAGCGTTACTCGAAAACGAACTGTTGGGTGAAGTTGCGTGGATATATTCTGATTGGTCAGAAAATATTTTTATGACTTTTAGATTTTTTGTCTCGGATATGGATGCGCAGAGCCGGCTTAAAATTAAGCTAGTTTGCGTCATTTGAATGATGGCTGGTGAGAGGAGTATTTCCATTTTCATTGAAAAGTGAGAGTTACGAAACTGAATAATTGTGATTACATGTAAATTTGAAACGAAAGAAATTAATAAATAAGAAACAAGATGATCGAAAACAAACGTTAATGTATGAGGTAAAAATTATAACATTTTAATTCTTCGCTTACCCCTTTATTCTGGGAATTGTTGTTTTTAAATCTTCCCAAATAACGTTATAACAGTTTACAGTTAATGTGAAAGCATTCTGCAGCAGCAAAAAAATCATTATATTTGTGATCTCTGTCTATCAAAGTCTCTATCACATTCTATCTATATATCCATCCGAGCCTCTCACAATTGGTATTACGACCTACAACGTTCGCTGAAAAACATCGGTATATTAATATTGCCCTTATCGGAAATCTAATACAGTATAAAATTTTAAAATTCACACAAATATTGCTATGAAATGACACTTGCACATTTATATCGCTTCTCACCATAAATATATACGAAAAAACAGAAACTGACACTTTTTTTTCTGTTATGCCATAGTGGGCAATAAATATATGAAATGGAATATATATATATATATATATATATATATATATATATATATATATATATATTCCATATATGTAAACTAAATATTTAATTCGTAAAATGATTGTTTATTCCCTTATTAAAATCGGTGTGTGATTTGGTGTAGCTTTTTCGAATGTTGAAATTCTTCTCGTGAGCATCCGATCAACTCCTCCTAGAACAAAGGTTACTCATTGACATTAAATTAGATTCGGACATTTGGTATTTCCTAACGTGGATCCCTTACTACACATATACACACACATACGTACACAGACACAGACACACAGACACACACACACACACACACAGAGAGAGAGAGAGAGAGAGAGAGAGGGATATACGTACTATAAAGTATCCTCTGCCAAATATGCAACCAATTTTCGAGTTATTCAAAATGGCTGGATACTTTTCGAACATACCACGTTATATGTTTAACTATTATATCAGTGGCCAAAATTATTATGTTATGCTTTCAGCATTGCTTCACTCTAATTGGTACAGACTTGCGGCTCAATTATGTTGTACTTCGGATGGTTTACGAAGATGTAATCTGTTTGATAATAACAATTGTTTGTGGCCCACTAAACAGTACACTCAGTGCACTCAGTAGATGGTCGCTTGTTTTTCATAGCGATTGAGTCTTAATGTTACAGTTGTTAATGATTGACTTGCAAATCTCGTCCCACATCATCGAAACATGTTACTGAACTGCTACCGGTGTATCTATATATTGGGATGTAATTATCAAGATGGTGGGAGGATGACATAGTAACTCAACTACCAAGCAATATTTTAATATTAAAAATGCCATGCATATGTATCTCAGTTTCTATCTGTCAATCAATTCCCTTTCTTCACAAAGATATTAACATACACTATCTGGCGTTTGGATGATGATAATGATCATGACGACGACAATGACGACGACAATGACGACGATGATAATGATGATGATGATAATGTATTTGTGAGTGTGTGTGTGTGTTTGTATTAGTAATAATCTGGTAAGTGAGACATATTCTAACAAAATCAACCAATTGTGGTTTCGTAAGGGTAATAGTTTCAGGATAATTTACTATGAAATCTATTCTACTATGAAATTATTTTCCGTTCAAGCAGAAATCCTTATCTTTGATATTTGTCTCTATATATTCTGAATCAGTCATTAAAAAGCAAACATAAAAGTTTGCGATAAATATGAACAGATTGAGATAAATGAATATGAACAAGTAGAGATGGACAGATTATAAACAGACATATCGACAATCAAAATGTATATCAAATTGGGAGATCAATGCGAAGAGACCGCGATAGATATAAATTAGATCAGATAAATCAGAACCAATAGGAACAAGGATAATTTATAGATGAGAACAAAGATAAGAACAATAGAAATAAGATAGGAACAGATTGAGACAGCTAGGTGGATATAAATGAAGAGAGATGAGAAATATGAACAACAATGTACCGATTATAGTATGAGCTTTTATGGTCAAAAAAAAAAAAAAAAAATAATAGCTCACACTATACACAGGTGAATTTTTTGAAGAGAATAAAAATTATGCATTTTCGGTAACCAGTTGCACTATGCACAGGTAATTCTTTTCTGGAGGGGTTTAAAAAAATGCAAAAAAATTCAGAGTCGCATTATACATAAACTGTATATAAACAGATTGAGATATGTATATTGTAAAATATCTTTGTTTTTGTGTGTATGTGTGTGTCAGTGAGGGAGAGAGAAAGAAAGAGAAAGATAGAGAGAGAATTGGAGGAAGAAACAGAGGGAATGAAAGATAGAAATATATATATATATATATATATATGTGTGTGTGTGTGTGTGTGTGCGTGTGTGAATAAAGGTATATATAGACGTGTTTATTTAAGGTAAAATAAACGTGTTTGTGCTTGTGTGTGAGTGTGTTTAAGAGAGAGACAGAAGCAGAGTGAGAGAAGCAGAGTGAGAGAAGCAGAGAGGGAGAGAAGCAGAGAGAGAAAGAGAGAGAGAGAGAGGGGGGGAGATAGAGATAGAAGCAGAGAGAAGCATGTGTCCTGAATGGATAGATAGATTGATAGATCAATCAAAAGATTTCGTCGTCTTTCTCATCTATTTTTCGCTGGCGTTTTGCTTCAGATCAAAATATGGCGCCCTTTCCTGTCAATTCAGCGAACTAGTTTAAGTGTTCACTTCGATTATCACCAGGTCGTTAAACACTCATTTATGATATCCTTGAAGCTTGATGGTTAAAGTCTGCTTCCGGTGAGCAATTAACACGAGATAGAAAACAACTGATGGAGCAAAGTAATCGAGGAAACCCGCCTATCTGTGCCTTTTATGAGTGCAGCGCGAAATCACTTGGCTCTTTACCATTGACTGACCTTGATCAAAGTAGAAAGATTTTTCTCTTTAATTCAAACTTAGTAAAACAATCAGCTTTGATTTAGTCATTTCAAATGGCTTAGTTGTTTGAGAAATATGCTAATTTCTCAGTAAAATTGTTTGTGGGTGGAATTTGTTGACTATTCAGTATTACTAGTGCATTTAAGGCGACAATCTGAGTGTTTGTTTCAGGTTTACATTCTATTTATTTATGTAATATATAAAGCGGAAAGTATGTGGGTGTTAACTCGAAACTCAAATATCAACACTGTGCCATCTGCATATCTAATGTTGTCAAGATTGTAGCTGTCAATAATAAATTTTGGAAAGACTTCTAATTCTTTCGGGATTACCTCACTGTAAAGATTGAATAAGTTTTGTGAGAAGACATCTCCTTGTCATATGCCTCTTTCTATTTTTGTGTATTTACTGAATTCATTTTCTATTCGTTATGCAGGAGGTTTGCGCTCTGTATAAGTTCTAGATTGTTCTATATTCTTTCCAATTAAAATCAAGCTTACCTAGCAGTTCAAATATTTCATTATGTCGCACTTTATCAAACGCTTTTTGCAAATGAAACTGCACTGTTCTTACTCTATTTCTCATCTAATTCTGCTCCGCACTCTATTCATCAGGATTCGAATGATAAGAATATTAGGCTGATTTTCCAGTGGAATTCGCATTCATTAGCACCTGTCTTCTTAAGCAGCGCTATGAAAATGAATCTACTTACGTCTTCCGGTATATCACCATTGTTGTATTACATTTATTATATCTGCAATTTTGTCTAAAGCTGTCAACATTTCTATTACAATTTTATCTGGTCCTGCTGCTTTATTCTTGTTCAATTTGGTCTGTGCTGATTTCACTTCAGATTTTAATATTTCTGGTCCTCCGTTATTTATGTGTATTGCGAGTTGTTCTATATCGTCTTGGAAGAGTTCTCCGATGTATTCATTCCATCCCTGAAGTATTTTCCTTTCTCTGTTATCAGTGTTGGTTTTAATGCATCCTATTGATGAGCATATCTTTTGTCCCATTAGCTTTCATATTCTTTTTTGCATATCTGTTTATCTGTTATGCCCATTCTTTCTATTTTTGAAAACTTTTCGTTGAGTCATTTCTCTTTTGCCTGCCTACATTTATTCTTAATTTATTTGTGTAATATCTTATATTCTGTGCCATACCTTGGCATTGTTTACTGTCTCCTTTTTATAATGTCGAGAATTTAATTTGTCATCCATTACTTTTTACTTGTCGAGTTTTATTTGGAATGATCTTAATTGTTGATGTTACTAAAGCTTCTTTTAACATGTCCCACTCCGAATTTCTATTCTCATTTAGTTCAATGTATCTGCTTTTAATGCCGTCCGTATATGTCTCCTTAAAATTGGGCTCATTTAGAGGTTTGTCGTATTGCAAGTTGGGTGCTGCCTCGGCCTTCTTCAATTTTCGTAGCTTCACTCTAAGTTTACATATCAATGGAAGGTAATCGCTCCCGCAGCTGGCACTTGGGTATATTTTACAGTGTAAAATTGCATCCATGAATCTCATATTGATCGTTATGTAGTCGATTTGGTTCTTTGTTTCTCCCCTTGGGCTTCTCCATGTCCATATATGTACTTAAAAAGCAGATATCAGCTACTAAATGATCGTTCACCGTCTATCATTGGACCCATTTTTTCCATGTTCATTATGAGACTGAATTTGCCAACAGTTTAATCATTTTTCCTTCCCTACTTTGGCATTCAGGTCGCCCATGGCGATTTTCTGCGATTTGCATTGAGCCTTTGGTGTTGTTGATGTACTTTTTGTTCTCAGTGCATATACAGCAATGATAGACATGTTAAAAGCCCCCCCTACAAGTACAAGAATTCTTTCAGATATAGTTGATAGTCTCTCAGAACATATTTCTTCATGTCTTGGTCTAATATAAGCCCCTATTCCTTTATCATTTTTCTCTTCACCTGTATATAAGACCCTGTGATTGTCACCGACGAAATCATTGTTTGCCAACGTAATATCGCATTTGCCTAAAATATTAACATTTAACCTATTCATTTCCTTCTTACTGGGCGATGGATCAATTCCAAGAAGACTGACTCCCTTTACGCTAAAGTTCTTTATAATTTTGCTAACTGTCGCTGAATGATGGTCAGGTGACACCTGTTGTACCTATGCCTCTTTATCGGGCGAGGAGTTAATTTCAATAGACCTTCACGTCATTATCTTTTATAATAATATTGTCCAGAGTCATGAATGTTCTTTATATTGATAGTGGAGAAGGATGTTTACAAATCTTCCCAGATACTAGGTAACGTTCCCTTGTAGCTGGGCTCCCACAACTCAAGACCGTGTGAATTCTTTTGGTGAGTCCTACTAAATGTTCTGTCAACATTTGATCCCTGATTTAAGTTAAGACTTTAATCTAACCAATCTTTCTATATAGTGATACATTCACCAATCAGTCTTTGTTGCGTTGCATGCAATCTGTGATATGGAGCTCCGTAACGCAAAAATAAATCTCACCTTCATCCAAGTCTGGCATCAAAAGTTCTTTCAGCAACAGGATGTATTTGACACTATACACCGAGTCGTCAATTTTAAACAATTTTCTATAAACAACACTTTTATGCAGTCGTAAAAATTATTTTTACCATCCAAACTTAACTGTTTTCGTTGTGTAACGTGGGTCATTTCGCTCTCTTGTCGGCCTTATGATACATTAATACTTATTAGGATGCAGCTTCCTTTTCGTTACATCACTGAATGTGATCTTATTTTAAGTTGTTCAAAGTTACAATACACAGTATTTGAGTACTCAACAGATTGTTAGTCGTGAGGATTTCATACAATATTACATTTTGTATATATATATATATATATATATATATATATATATATATATATTAGTGTGTGTGTGTGTGTGTGAGTGTGTGCATATATATATATACATTACATATATATATATATATATATATATATATATATAATTATTTTTAAAAAAATATGATTCCTTCGCTACATAAGAGTTCTCATGTTTCAAAAACGGGAGCCGAAAACCTCAATATAATTATTAAAATTAAATTGAGTTAAAATATCAAGCCCTGTTTCATCCTCAAATGAAAATTTAGAAATAACCAATCTTGAAATTTACGCATCTTTATAAGCATGTTCATTTGCAAAATTAATTACTATGGAAACGGCTGGGCTGACCATTTTGGTAAGGGGCCTAAGAGATAATTTTTATCCACATATCAGTCACCTTCGGAAAGAGGTCAAGCCGAGGTAGTGTGGAGGTATCCATTTCAAAGCGAAATATGGTATTCATGTGCGCACATCGTCTCGTTATTCATAGCGAAAGATAGCTTTTGGCACCATAATATGTCGTTAAGTGTCTAGAGAACTTTGTTTTATTTTATTTATTTATTTAACCTTTTGTTTTTGTTTTTTCTAAAGGGCTGTTTCGTACTTAAACGTGTCGCACTGAACTACAATCTGTTTTTTGACGACTTCATAAAGGATTTTTCTATCTTATGACCGGGTTAAGCTTTTAAACCTTTTATTAGACTATGAAATTTAATTTTTTTATGCTAAATATTTAATGCGAAAATTTGTTGATGTCAGCAGAAAACCGTTAACTCATGTCTATGGTTTAATAAATTTTCATTATTTAGAAACTTATTAATGTGTAGTTTTTCATGTAGGCATAAAGGGCATGGGTCATCCCAGGTTTTACAAGTTCTTGTTCTCTTTATTATATTCCATTTTCCATTTATTTTCTAAAAATTTTATTTTCTAAAAATTTCTGGAAAATAAATGCAGCACAAAATCTGTGGTATACCAATGCACTATCTCATCCATTGAGAGTCCTATCACTGATAGGATATACATTGGTTCAACGAAGAATGAATTTAAAATTAGATGGAGACAATTTAATTTTAATAATTATATTGAGGTTTTTGGCTCTCGTTTTTGAAATATGAGAACTCTTATGTAGCGAAGGAATCCTATTTTTTTTTAAAATAATTATAACTTAAGTTTACTTCTGTATGGAGCACTGTTTTTTGAAAATAAAAACAAAAATACTAAAGAACTCCGGATTATTTACCTAACGTGTTCTTTCTTATTTACAACATATCTGCACACACACACACACACACACACACACACATATATATATATATATATAATTACAATCAGTGAAACCCTAACAAATTAACCCATACAGATGACCATTTCGTCCTCGGGAAAAGATTTCCCTGGACTTGTCAATGTAAATACATTTGTTAACAAATATATTTACATTCACAAGTCCAGGAAAATATTTTTCCCGAAGACGAAATGGCCATCTGTATGGGTTAATTTGTTTGGGTTTCATTGATTGTAATTCACTTATATGGTCTATAATAAAAAATTATATTGAGCTCTCTTTTGTGGATCAGTTTTAATATTTTATATTAATAGGATCTACTTGGATTACTTACCCACGGATTTTTTTTACCTGTACACACACACACACACACACACACACACACACACACACACACACACATATATATATATATATATATATATATATATATATATGGCAAAATTGTATGACAACGTGGAAAAAGTTTTTGCGCCTGGCTCTTACATTTCACCATCCCTGGCAGATCTTCTAATATCACAGTGTGTGATACTTACCAACAAAAGTGCTGTAAAGAAAAAAGAAAAAGGCTGTAAATGAATTCAGCTAGATAAAATAATTATAAAATCCCTAGCACCCCTCCTTCGTGCGCATATGTAACAGAACTTTGTCATACAATTTCCCCAATATATTTCATTATCTCATATATATATATATATATATATATATATTCGTATTCACCTCCCTACGACTAGTTGCTTTCCAGACTCATTACTTTAGAGAACGTTACTTTACGTGAATTGCCATGAAAGTTTATGTTAAACAGCAAACATTTGTTGTATAAAATAAATCCGTTTATCATCTTTAAGACCCATGCTGATTTACATATTCGTTTACACCGATGTGAAAATTATTTGATTGTTACATAAACGTGAGAAAGATGAATATATCTTGCATATATATATATGCAAGATCTATACGTACATATATATTCACAACACATCAGAAGACACGCGTCTGTGACTCGACGTGATCAAAAACCATCGGATAGAACATTTAAAATGCAGGAAATAAAAAAAAAACAAAAAAAAAACAATCTTATCATACTAAATAAAACTTATTTAAACAAAATCTACCCTAGATGCCTGGTCATACCCATTTTAACATGTATGATAACTCGGCTTAGTCTAGTCTGGAATAAGGTCGCAATAGCTGCACACTCAATCATTTGTTATTAGTGTTTTGTCACATTAACATCATTTGAATGATTGCTCTTTATATCACCAATATTCACTCAAAGAATGCAAGATCCATATATCTGCAGATGTTATAACCTAGTTTATACATTTCATTTCCAACCTTCGTCACTTACAGCTATATAGCGTTGAAACAACGGTTCTCGCACGATCACTGATGTTAAACAACGTCGAGCCTGGTAAGTATCTATATAGGTAAGCGCTTGGGAATACCAAATGCTGTAAGCTTGGATGTGCGGATGGTGTAATGTATAACGGCTCGGAATTGGAAATCAGAGCTGAGTTCAAATTCCAGTCAGATTTATTATATTCACTTACGCGCAAATACCCTTGTAAGAATTCATCTCTTCTCTCACCACCCACAAGCATGTGTTAATTAGCAGGACTTATTCTTACAATTTGAAAATATTTTATGGCTTTAAATAATCTGCAAAGGGTTGATAAGCTGTAAAAAAACAAATCAATCAATCCAATTATAACCAATTTTAATACACACTTAAACTAAGCGAACGAAACATAGGCAGATACATCATGAGTTATATACGTGAGCTCCATATAAGGCATGAAAACACAACATAGAATTTTAAAAAATGAATAGACAAAAACATTAACGCCAATATACACAACTAATGAAAGCAAAACCTTCAATTCCCAACATTTCAGATGAGGCTAAATAAAGAAAAACATGAAATAAAGATATTCCACTTGTTCCTTATTTAATCCTTATTCAGTCATTCTCTCTCTCTCCTCCATTTCTTTTACTCGTCAAGTTCTATAATGCAAATTTGTATAAGTAAAATAAAATCTTGACCAAAATTTGGATGCCTCGGTGTAATGATTAGGAAACTAATTTGGCTGTGTAGTGAGCTTGATCCACATTGGGGGCTTCATATTTGTGGTCTTGTGCCAAACTAAGCAGAGCTTAGTAAATAATAAGAATACTAATCACTTTAGCGACGTTCTCAGCTACTTATAGAAAGGATATACATTATGGCCAAGAACCGGTTATTACTCCTTTACACGCCCACATCTCTCTACAAATGAGCATGCATGCACACCCACGTAGACGCGCATATGCGTACGCATAGATACAATCAACTGCGTAAGGAGACCTCTGTAACCAAAGACATGTGCGACGTCCGTATTTTCTGCCAACGATTTGGCAACATGGCTGAACGCTTTCGTAATCTGGCGAGAAAAAAACATGCTCTCCCTTTAGACTGGAGTCTATTCACGTAGATTCCTTTTTCCAAAATACAAACCAAGAAAGCATAAAGAAAAGTGAAAAGAAGACAAAGAATGGACGCGTGCGGTGTTAGTAGAGTGGAGATTGGCGGTGACATGAAGTCTACTGGAGAATAAGCACCATAACGGTTAAAAAAGAGAAGGAAATAGGATGTAAGGCGCCCCCAAGTTGATAAAAGTGAAACCAACAATACATCGTATACATATCTCCATAAGTATTTGGGTCGTCAATCATGTTATGTCATGAATGGAGCGAGTGATGAGAATTAGAAATTAGAGTCGAGTAGGAAAAGTGGAAGATGAAGGGAAGTAAAGAGAAAGGAGTGGGGGAAAAAGAACAGATGAAAGGAATGATCAGAAGGATGTAAATCTTTCTGAGTGGGGATCAGACGAAGTCAGAAGAGAGAAAGAGATAAAAAGAAAAATGAGAGGGGGAAGAAAATAAGAAAATAAGAAATAATAATGGAATGAAAGAGAGAAGAAAACTGAAGAAGAAATGAAGGAAGAAGACAACAAAAACATGAATTAAGATCTTGAATTATGAAAAAAGAAGTACAGCGAAAGAAAATAAAAGAAGGCATTTAAAGAGAAACAAAAAAGAAAAATGATGAAATAAAAAGGCAAGTTTCTTTGTTAGAAAGAAAGGTTAAAACTGAAAACGGTTAAAAAAGAACCGAAAAAAATCAGATTAAAAGAAATTGAAATGCAAGAAAAAGTCAACAAAATTTAAAAAGAAAGAAAGAATGAAGTGGAGATAAAAAGGAAGAGAGAAATAGAAAGCGCAATTCGTGAACGTAAAAAAGCAAAGAAATAAGATGGATTAAAGAGAACTTTCTAGGAAGATAGATGAAAAAAGTTAAAAGGAAAGAATGAAATATGAAATGAACTAGAAAAGCGTAAATTGGGATAAGAAAAAAACTAAGTGAACAATAAAGAAAAGGAGGGAGTGAAAAGAAATAAACGCAGGAATAAATGGATGAAAGAGTTTGAGAAGGCAAAAAGAAACAAACGAATAAAAAAAAATGAAAAGCGTAATCGAATTAGTAAAAAAAAAGGTTGAAAGAAAAATGAAGAATGAATAAAAATGGTTGATTTTATATTTTTATTGCGAAGCTCAACCCAGCGTCTTTAATTTTATTGCAGTTCTCAAATCGGGCAGAATGCGTCTGTATCTAATAAAGTCAAGCTGCAACAATTGTAATAGAACTAGACCAAGTTCGTGGAAAAAAAAACTTTTATTGATATTTACGTTATTGTTATTATGTTTTGAGTCGACGTGAAATAATAATAATAATAATAATAGTATAGAAACTACAGTAAATAGTAATAACAAAGTAATGATAACAATATAAAGATAATAATAACTTTGAGCAATAATAATAATAATGATAATAATAATGATAACAAAACCGAAATAATTATAATAAGAATAATAAGACAACAATAATAATAATATTGAGTAACGGAAAAATGTTCGTTGTTTTTACGTTAAGTTGCATAAGAAGCATTTAGTTTTATTGTATTCAAAAGATCGTATTTTGATAGCATTTTGAAATTGTCAAAATGAACGTATTTTTGTTCATTGATTAAAATGGAAAAAAATAGGTATCGCTTACAGCATGTTGCGCTTTTTCCATTTAAAGAAAAGTAGAAATGGTGCAAAAAAAAAAGAAAAGATTTATGTAGTTTATGGAAAAGTACCGTGATTGATTCAACATGTTAAAAGTGGTTTACGCGTTGAATGATATGATGTTCCACGTTTGATGGTGTTCGTGTTTGGAGGATACCAGATGTGAGTATGGGTCCAGCTTTTCAGCGTGGTGTTGTGCAGATTGGTGGTGGCCATATCAAAGTTTGGGGTGCGAAACTGGAGTCTCTCTTGAAATATTCCATACATAGCGAGATAACACAAACCATTCCGCGTTGTATGCGGTTGACACGGAACTGGCTTCCACATATTATTTGGCTCTTGTACTCATCAGGTTTAAACTCCAATGAGCATTTATGTGTCATGTTGCAAACCATACTAAAGTCTCTGCCACAATACACAGCAAACACAACTCAGTTATTAGCAACCATGGAATTTACCTGGATACCTGGATTCATGTAACGACTCCAACACTTCATAGCCTCCATGTCACATTAAGTAGCCACCGTTATTCATGCTTTATTAGCCAGCAATCTTTGATTGTTTAGTACTTTATATATACCCATTTATATACTGAGTATGGATAAAGTAGCTATCAACTTTGAAGCCTAATGTAGAGGCAAAGGAAAGCAAAATCAGGTACAAACGAAAATGTTTTACCATCGAATCAAGAAATAAATAAAATGAATATTTCTTAACAGATTGGCCACCATTGTCAATGCATATTTAAAATCTTTCATAGAAACTTCAAATAGCATTTTGATACATTTCAGGTGTTATCTTTATCAATGAAATTCTTTAAATCCTGATGTGTTTTCGGCTTTCAGTTGAAAATTCACACTGTAACCACCACCAAAGAATTTAGTGATGTAATATTTGGGGATCTTACTGTCCAAATCAGTGACCTCATTCCCCTAAGTCATCTCTGTCGACATGTGAGTCATGTGAAGGTAGACTGTCATGTTGAAAGATTCTTGTTTGATTCTAGCAAGTTTGCGTGTTTGAGGTGGGGGTCAATGATCTATGTTCAAGTAGTTTTCGTCTATAAAAACATCCATCAATGATGAAAGGTCCGTAAACTCCTTCATGACAACTGCATCCAGACATTTAATTTTGGTCTTCAATGTCATTTACCAAATCCTTTCTCTAGGTATGCCGTACCGGAAAAAGGCCCACGCGCATGTGTTGATTGCCCTTCCACGCCTATTTGTATTAGTTTGGAAAGTCCTATCGCATTTTGACATGATCAATTTGAGAGAACCTTTTCTCAAATTTACATTATGTTAACTATTAATTTGATACTTTCTTTACGTATTAATATTATAGTGGGTAAATTTTGAATCGATTTTACATTTTTAAAATGAGTTTAGATCAGGTCCATATCACAGACTGTATTCTGTATGAATTCAAAAAGGGGGTTCTCTCTAGCAACAGAAGTATCGGGAGAAATTCTTTTGGTTTATGGGAATTAAATTTTAACTATCCAAACATGCCAATAATGGTTTGGTTAATTTTGATCGAGAAAATTTTCTCTCAATGATTCACGTCAACGTAGATGTACATATTCTGTCTATATTGAACTTCAGCAAAAGCCGTAGTTGAGGAAAATCATAAGTAAAACGCATGAGAATTAGCAGCAAAACAGTTCAATAGAATTCATACTTCGATCATAAAATATCTTCGTGAAATCGGAACAGTATCTAAACTTGGTTAAAAACAACAATAGCTGTCTCTCACTGAAAAAGAAGAATTTATCTTCAAAGCAGGACTACAAACGAAAAAAGCTTTGTGTTTGATGTTATATGAAAGGTATCGTCTATTATGAAATGCTAAATAAAACAATGCAGAAAAATATTTTCGTCTCCTGGAAGCATTACACAAAAACAAAAAAAATGTGTAGAAAGGTCTCCTATAACTTGTTAATTGTAAAGGTGTGTTGCATTTATACGATAATGTAAGACCACATAAAAAATATTATGGCACTAAATATCGAAGTTTTTCTTCATCCTCCTTACTCTTTTGACTATGATATCAACTTTTCAGATTTTAAAAACATTTTTAGATGGAAAACAGTTCATATACTATGACGAGGTTAAAATTGATATTGAGTGCTTCTTTGCATCGAAATCTGAAAAAAATTGTTAAACAAAAGAGATGATTATGATGATCAAAGAAGCATTTTTTGGCTACACAATTAACAAAACTTTCTTCCCTTTAGTTTCTTAGCTTAGTTTAACCGGAAGGAACTGGCCGCATAACTAAACATCAGATTAGAAATTAGGAAAGAAACGTATACCTCGAGCTTGAAAGCTCCGAAATATTTATTAAGCGGCCCACATTGTATATTTTACACATTTTTCTCGCAAAGTCGCTTTTATAAATGTATGAATGAATTAATTAGCAAAAGATGATGACTCATAACGAAAAAGCCATAAAATAATTACAAAGAAAAAATCTTGTGGCGCGTCGGTTGTTGATTACTCCACCCACTTGCAAACTGTAACTTGGTGGCCACCTCATTTAGATAATTCATTAAAACTTCATGTATATATCTTTAGTGATATTTAATATTCACTGTTTTGAATATAGACAAATTAGGCGCTGCATACATAAAGAAAAATACTTTGATAACGGAAAATAACTATTACAACTGCCATTTTGTGATTATAAAGCTTGGAAAGAAACATCAAAGTCTACAGAAATGTGAACAAAAACGATCACTAGCCATAGGAAGTGGTATAACGAGATAAAATAAAACTGTTCAGTCAGCTTTGGACAAAACATTTTACAAGGTTATATATATATATATATATATATATATATATATATATATATATATATATATATATATATATATATATATATATATATATATATATATATATATATATATATATATATATATATATATATATATATATATATATATATATATATATATATATATATATATATATATATATATATATATATATATATATATATATATATATATTAGTTATTAGTTATTATATCATTATGAATTAAATAAAATATTTGATTTCTTTTAATGAACACAACTGTGGAAACAATTTCAAAATGAAGACAAAGAAACATTCTAAATCAGGAAGATTTTATTGAAACCCAATTTTTGTATTATCCTTCTATTCATTGGATGAAATGATTTCTCTGTAAGGTTGGCAGGAACGGACATTTACTGAATTCGTGTCGAAATAAAGAAAAATCACTGAACATTGAATTATGAACATGACACATTCTCCAACAAATTTACTAATTGATTGATTTACTGATCGATTGATTGAACCGGTGATTAGATATTTGATGGATTATATCACTTTAAGCAACATGCGATAATGATGACGAGAAATCAACACAACATTGAAAGAAAAACACGCATATCACTTTGTTGAACTTTATTAATTAGATGATGAAATACAGAAATAGAAATGATGTAAGAGAGCTAAAAAAAATATGGAATAAATAGATAAAAAGAAAGAAAGAGAGAGGGAGTGAGTTATAAATACAGTGATCTACATGAATTCAAGCATATCTATCTATCTATCTATCTATCTATCTATCTATCTATCTATACGAGGGTGATACTGAAAATTTTTCAAAAAATCAGATTTTGGAAAGTGGGTTGGAACGAAAAGTTTTCATTCCTTTCTCGTAACTATCCAAATGATGAAATATTAGAATTATATATATATATATATATATATATATATATATATATATATATATAATGGAGCTGATAATTTTCATCGTCATCTCGTGGATAGATCGATATAAACAGATTGAAATGCATATGGCCAGAGAAATACTGAGTGAAGAAACAAATCTTGCAGTAAAAAAATAGACTAAATTATCCGAC